AACAGCCTACAAATGTCCCATGGAGAGTTCTGTTTAGCTGGTCCCATTAATGGTGTATTTTCATAGATTTCACACCCCTAATCCTGCCATTGAGGGCCCCCTCGCTCCTCCATTGGACTTCGTTCCACACACACTTCCTCGTTTTCGTTAGTCTTCATTTGAGAGTCACAAATCTTAGTTCTTTTCTCTATTTTCTCCTTTTCTGTCAGAAATTTTCATTAGTCCGAGTATTTTTTATGATTATTTTCGTTCCTCCGCGTATTTGGTTGAGTCTGGTTCAATTTAGCTCCTAAATAAGTGACTCTACTTTCTTTCTCGTCTTAGAGAACAACAGTAAACAATCTAGTGCCGCCATCTATGTGTGGGTTTTTTCCCTCTTCAAACAAAATGACTCCTATCAGACGCTTCCCCAAAACCCGCCCTTCCCCATTCGCTACCCCTAACCCCAACTTTCCCGTGACCCCCCCCAACCCCAGCATCCCCATCGAGACCCCATAAGCCATACGTTTTATTTAGTATTTCCATCCCATAATGTATTAACCTCGGGTGGTTATGTGACTCAAACCTTGTGATACTTCCACGGATGATTTAGGTCTGCACAAAATGCTTCACATAAATTTTAAGCCTTTCATCTGACTTTCTCTCTCTCTCTCTCTCTCCTCTCTCTCTCTCTCTCTCCTCTGGATGCAAACAAAATTCACTAACTCTAAAGATCTTTATTACATTTTTGAAGCTTTGTGATATTTACATTGTATTAACATGATGAAGTGTACACGATGACATGATGAGTATACATTAACATGATGAAGTGTACACGATGACATGATGAGTATACATTAACATGATGAAGTGTACACGATGACATGATGAGTATACATTAACATGATGAAGTGTACACGATGATATGATGAGTATACATTAACATGATGAAGTGTACACGATTATATGATGAGTATACATTAACATGATGAAGTGTACACGATGATATGATGAGTATACATTAACATGATGAAGTGTACACGATGATATGATGAGTATACATTAACATGATGAAGTGTACACGATGATATGAGAGTATACATTTAACATGATGAAGTGTATAGGATGATATGATGAGTATACATTAACATGATGAAGTGTACACGATGATATGATGAGTATACATTAACATGATGAAGTGTATAGGATGATATGATGAGTATACATTAACATGATGAAGTGTATAGGATGATATGATGAGTATACATTAACATGATGAAGTGTACAGGATGATATGATGAGTATACATTAACATGATGAAGTGTATAGGATGATATGATGAGTATACATTAACATGATGAGGTATACATGATGATATGATGAGTATATCATGCATCACAGGGAGGTATCAAGGTATTCTTTTTATGTGCCAGTGTTGTAGTGATGTGTCAGTGTTGTAGTGATGTGTCAGTGTTGTAGTGATGTGACAGTGTTGTAGTGATGTGTCAGTTTTTGAGTGATTTTGACAGTGTTGTAGTGATGTGTCAGTGTTTAGTGATGTGTCAGTGTTGTAGTGACGTGTCAGTGTTTTGTGTGAGTGTCAGTGTTTTGTAGTGATGAGTCAGTGTTGTGGTGTTGTGTCAGTGTTGTAGTGATGTGTCAGTGTTGTAGTGATGTGACAGTGTTGTAGTGATGTGTCAGTGTTGTAGTGATGTGACAGTGTTGTAGTGATGTGTCAGTGTTGTAGTGATGTGTTTAGTGTTGTAGTGATGTGACAGTGTTGTAGTGATGTGTCAGTGTTGTAGTGATGTGACAGTGTTGTAGTGATGTGTCAGTGTTGTAGTGATGTGTCAGTGTTGTAGTGACGTGTCAGTGTTGTAGTGATGTGTCAGTGTTGTAGTGATGTGTCAGTGTTGTAGTGATGTGTCAGTTTTTTGTAGTGACGTGTCAGTGTTGTAGTGATTGTCAGTGTTGTAGTGATGTGTCAGTGTTGTAGTGACGTGTCAGTGTTGTAGTGATGTGTCAGTGTTGTAGGAGTGGGCAGTGTTGTAGTGATGTGTCAGTGTTGTAGTGATGTGACAGTGTTGTAGTGAATGTGCAGTGTTGTAGTGATGTGACAGTGTTGTAGTGATGTGTCAGTGTTGTAGTGATGTGTCAGTGTTGTAGTGACGTGTCAGTGTTGTAGTGATGTGACAGTGTTGTAGCGATGTGTCAGTGTTGTAGTGACGTGTCAGTGTTGTAGTGATGTGACAGTGTTGTAGTGATGTGTCAGTGTTGTAGTGATGTGACAGTGTTGTAGTGATGTGTCAGTGTTTTTAGTGATGTGTCAGTGTTGTAGTGATGTGCCAGTGTTGTAGTGATGTGTCAGTGTTGTAGTGATGTGTCAGCGTTGTAGTGATGTGTCAGTGTTGTAGTGACGTGTCAGTGTTGTAGTGATGTGTCAGTGGGTTTTAGTGATGTTTTCAGTGTTGTGGTGATGTGTCAGTGTTGTTAGTGATGTGTCAGTGTTGTAGTGATGTGTCAGTGTTGTAGTGATGTGTCAGTGTTGTAGTGATGTGTCAGTGTTGTGGTGATGTATCAGTGTTGTAGTGATGTGTCAGTGTTGTGGTGATGTGTCAGTGTTGTAGTGATGTGTCAGTGTTGTAGTGATGTGTCAGTGTTGTGGTGATGTGTCAGTGTTGTAGTGATGTTCAGTGTTGTAGAGATGTGTCAGTGGTTGTAGTGATGTGTCAGTGTTGTAGTGGGTGTGTCAGTGTTGTAGTGATGTGTCAGTGTTGTAGTGATGTGTCAGTGTTGTAGTGATGTGTCAGTGTTGTAGTGATGTGTCAGTGTTGTGACTATGTGTCAGTGTTGTGACTATGTGTCAGTGTTGTGACTATGTGTCAGTGTTGTGACTATGTGTCAGTGTTGTGACTATGTGTCAGTGTTGTGACTATGTGTCAGTGTTGTGACTATGTGTCAGTGTTGTGACTATGTGTCAGTGTTGTGACTATGTGTCAGTGTTGTGACTATGTGTCAGTGTTGTGACTATGTGTCAGTGTTGTGACTATGTGTCAGTGTTGTGACTATGTGTCAGTGTTGTGAGTATGATGTGTCAGTGTTGTGACTACGTGTCAGTGTTGTGACTATGATGTGAGGATGTTCCGTTGGGAATCGTAAGCCAGCATGTAGAATATTCTTCTGTTGGAGAGACCACACGTAGAATGTTTCTTGTGTTGAGACACACCACGTAGAATGTTCTTGTGTTGGAGACACACCACGTAGAATGTTCTTGTGTTGGAGACACACCACGTAGAATGTTCTTGTGTTGGAGACACACACGTACGAATGTTCTTGTGTTGGAGACACACCACGTAGAATGTTCTTGTGTTGGAGACACACCACGTAGAATGTTCTTGTGTTGGAGACACACCACGTAGAATGTTCTTGTGTTGGAGACACACCACGTACAATGTTCTTGTGTTGGAGACACACCACGTACAATGTTCTTGTGTTGGAGACACACCACGTAGAATATTCTTGTGTTGGAGACACACCACGTACAATGTTCTTGTGTTGGAGACACACCACGTAGAATGTTCTTGTGTCGGAGATACACCACGTACAATGTTCTTGTGTTGGAGACACACCACGTACAATGTTCTTGTGTCGGAGACACACCACGTACAATGTTCTTGTGTTGGAGACACACCACGTACAATGTTCTTGTGTTGGAGACACACCACGTACAATGTTCTTGTGTTTGGAGACACACCACGTACAATGTTCTTGTTTGGAGACACACCACGTACAATGTTCTTGTGTTGGAGACACACCACGTACAATGTTCTTGTGTTGGAGACACACCACGTACAATGTTCTTGTGTTGGAGACACACCACGTACAATGTTCTTGTGTTGGAGACACACCACGTACAATGTTCTTGTGTTGAGACACACCACGTACAATGTTCTTGTGTTGGAGACACACCACGTACAATGTTCTTGTTTGGAGACACACCACGTACAATGTTCTTGTGTTGGAGACACACCACGTACAATGTTCTTGTGTTGGAGACACACCACGTACAATGTTCTTGTGTTGGAGACACACCACGTACAATGTTCTTGTGTTGGAGACACACACGTACAATGTTCTTGTGTTGGAGACACACCACGTACAATGTTCTTGTGTTGGAGACACACCACGTACAATGTTCTTGTGTTGGAGACACACCACGTACAATGTTTCTTCCGTGTTGAGAGACACACCACGTACAATGTTCTTGTGTTGGAGACACACACGTACAATGTTCTTGTGTTGGAGACACACCACGTACAATGTTCTTGTGTTGGAGACACACCACGTAGAATGTTCTTGTGTTGGAGACACACCACGTACAATGGTTCTTGTGTTGTCGAGACACACCACGTACATAGTTTTTTAATTGGAGTACACACCACTACAATGTTCTTGTGTTGGAGACACACCACGTACAATGTTCTTGTGTTGGAGACACACCACGTACAATGTTCTTGTGTTGGAGACACACCACGTACAATGTTCTTGTGTTGGAACCACAGTACAATGTTCTTGTGTTGAGCACACCACGTACAATGTTCTTGTGTTGGAGACACACCACGTACAATGTTCTTGTGTTGGAGACACACCACGTACAATGTTAACATGCCAGAGAGACTGACGAGTGCTCGTAACTACTATGTCTTTATTTACAATATATTTCATCTCAATTTCTCTTCGTCTATATTACTATTTCCAAGAAACATCAAGAAATTACCATATTTACAAAAAAAAAAATCTTTTTAAAAGGCTCACTTCATTTAGGAATAATGGCTATTGTAGCACAAGCTGGTGGTTATACTCATTAATAATATATATAATATATAATATTTATAATATATATATATATAAATATATAATATATTATATATATATATTTTAAATTTATATATATATTATATTATAATATATTATTATATATATAATTATATATATATAATATATATTGTTAGCTTCGATTCTAAATATTTTTCAAAATTTGGGTTTCAAAAGTCTGCAGTCTTGTACATGTCACAGATGATCCGCTCGATGGGTATTGCACCGATGGTTCTTCTGAAGAACAGTTCTTGTATGGTTCGACTCCCCACAGCTCTGAGTGACGGCAGCAACAGCAACAGTTTACCAAACCTGTGTCACACACACATCAGAGGAATCATTAGCACCTTTGTAACTGTCTTTGTTAGTGAAGGCTGTAGTTGTTAGTTACAGGTGTAGTTGTTGGTTATGGTTGTAGTTGTTGTTGTATACATTTATATATATTTTTATACATCTTACCTGAAGGGCTGGGTTGGGTAGGCTGAGGTGATGTACTTGTTGAGGGTGAGCTGTGCCTGGTCCTGCAGTGCTGTCACTGCTCCTAGGTCCCGCAGTGCCTTCACCTCCACACCGCCACTCTCCCACACTGTAACACACACACTGTCTTACTGCCCGTAAAATCACAAACACACTTTGTATAAGCCCACACGCTGTTACAAACACTGTGTTGACTGTGTTTATCCCTTCTAAATCCTCTGCTGCAAGATAAACTAAACTAGCTCTCATATATATATATATATATATATATATATTTATATATATATATATATATATATATTTATATATATATATATATATATAATATATATGTATTATATATTATATATATATATATATATATATATATAAATATATATATATATAATATATATTATATATATATGTCGTGCCGAATATGTAAAACTGGTCAATTAGCAAGAACTCATTTAAAATTAAGTCCTTTCTAAAATTTTCTCTTATACGTTTAAAAATATATTTTTTTCATTAATGTTAATGCAAAAATTTTTAATTTTGCTCCGAAAGAATCCTAGAAAACTTACCTAACCTTATTATAACAAAATCAATTTATTTTAACCTAACCCAACTAAATATATTTTAGATTTGTTTACAATAATTTAATACTAAACAAACACAGTGAAATATATTTTTTTCGTTAGGTTCAGAATGATTTTGGCGAAATTACTGCATACACAAATTTTCACTTGTCCTATATGGCAAGATCAGCGTTGCTATTTAAGCCAAGATCGCAAGTTCTGCCTATTCGGCACGACACACACACACACACATATATATATATATATATATATATATATATATATATATATATATATATATATATATATATATATATATATATATATATATATATATATAATGGATTTATCCATCCTATAACAATCCATCATAGAGCTATCTATTATGGATCTATCCATAACAATGTCCATCATTCATGAACAGAGAGATAGAGACAGAGAGAGAGACAGAGAAACAGAGAGACAGAGAGACAGACTCACCTGTCTTGAAGAGTACAATAGCCTTGAGACAGGCGTACTCAGTAGGATCGACACACATAGTCTTGAACTTGCTGAGGATGTCTTGAAAGAGCTTGATATCCTGTAGGATAGGCAGGAGTCTTTCCGAGGTCTCACCACTGAGACCACAGGAGGCCAGTAGTGGTCCAGCCTCCACGGGAAGAAGGAACTGTGCAGCTGACAGCACAAACAGCTCTCTCCAGCCTTCCTCTAACAGCAACAGCTAAAATAGAAGGTGGTTCATTATTATTATTATTATTATTATTATTATTATTATTATTATTATTATTATTATTATTATTATTATTATTATTATTATTATTATTATTCAGGTAATAACTAAGGGAATTTTCCTCGTTACCTGGAGGAGGTTATACCTGGAGAGGGTTCCGGGGGTTAACGCCCCCGCGGCCCGGTCTGTGACCAGGCTTCGTGTATATTAAAACACATGCATCATTCCCTTAACTAAGGGACTGATTACCTCATTTTTATATAGTTCTATAGTCTTCACATTATGACCTTGTATTGTGTTGATAAAGCCACTGGAGGGCGAAACGTCTACAAATGAAGACACCCAGATGTTGCACATTTATCTAATTCCTCACAACACAGTGCAGGTAGAAGAGAGTCAAGAAGCCAGACCAAGAGCTGGAGGTTGTCCTCCAGGTACACACACGTTACACACCTGGTCTCTGAAGGGAAGGGCAGTGTAGGCAGGCAGCTGTTTCGTCCAGCGGACATTCATAAAGAGGAGTCTGGCAGCTGTTTCGCACACGCTGTCTGCTGACATCACAGGCAGTGCCAGCTCGTGTGGGTACTGTGGACGTGGCACTGTTAGTCTCTATAACTTTTTCTTAACTGATACTATAATTACTCATTATGTCATTGTTATTAGTTCAGTGATCAGCTAGACATTTAATTACTATCTGGATCAAAACATTAATGGCGTGATAATCTATAACTATCATGAATCATAAATAAAAATATAATTAGAACAATTAACAATAAAAACAGTAACTGTAAATAGAAATTAGACGACTATCGATGCTTCCCGAACCACTAGCAAGACGTGAGGGATCTGATAATGGTCCGAGAACGACCGAAACGTCTTGTCTCCATTTCGAATTTTTGCCTTGGTTATAAGATATTGAGTTGGCACCCACCTTGGGTGTTGGTGCCAGGAGAGTGGTGGCTCTTGTGGTCAACATATGCATGCGGTCCAGCGTGAGTGCCGTGATTTCTGGCGGAGGTCGAACCAGTTCCAGGTGTGTGCTGCCGCCTCCCGTCGGGGCAGGATGTCGAGGTGGGAAGGAGATCTTGAGGTCGAGTGGTGGAGGCTGAGGTGGAAGGGGAAAGGGCAGTGCCAGAGCGGCACTGACAGTGACAGGTGGCATGTGAGTGACGGTGGACGGTGGGGTTCGAGAGTGGTTGGGTTCCGGCGGAGTGGGGCTTCTGGGGCGGGGCGGAGGTGAGTCAGGACTGGGATCCCTGAAGTATAGGGACATCTGACGGCGTAGAGTGGAGTTCCTTGGACCTCGCTCGTGCTGCACGGCTGTGGGGACCACGTTAATAATGGATTACTAAAGTGTAATGAAGAGGTTCCCAGAAGGGGATCGTAAATATACTGACCAATTTTGGTCTTCTGAGGTTCTGTCTCCATGTGGGTCAAGCCATGACTCGCGTGCCGCATGCGGTTCTTCGAGACAATATCCACAACAGGAAGTAAATATGGATAATGCCTCTGTAGCAGTAATGTATGAGGCTTGTCGCATGCGGCTAGCAAGCCATCATTTTACGACGTCTGTACTATACACTAGATTTAAACTCTAGATTTCGCCGCAGTAGTGGCTAGTTTACTGTGCACCTCATATCCATCCTATGGACGGTAGTGCAAGAGTATATGGATACACAAAAGGCCTAGGAACTGTCAGACTGACAGAAGTACTTGTAACCAAGTCTAAGCCTGGCTACTACATCAGTCAGTCTGTTTGTATTGTAGTTGCTCCGTATATGTACGTTCAACTTACAGTGAGTTATACATCTACTCAGGCATCTAACTGTATTCCTATAAGATTAACACATTAAATACACCTTAACACTTTCATACGCACGGACACACTCTCACCTCTTTCAATGTTCGATCCTCAGAGTTCGTATTAAACTACGAAGATAATTGATTAATCTTGTAATAAGCTAAATCTGCTCTTAAAAATTTATATTCGTTATATATGTTAATAGTTCTGAAGATCATCTCTCCGCAGCACGTCTCGGACCAGATACAAAGTTCTCAGTTGGAAGGAAAATACCACAAGAGTAAGAACGATAGTAAGAAACACACAGAAAGTAAGATAAGTGTATGCTGATAGTAAGCTGAAGATTTTAAGAGTTATCTTCTATCTCTTGTGCTTATAAAACAAAGAAATTTTCAGCAATGCTTCCATGGTGAAATGTATTTAACAGACTTCAGTTTCACACTAATAAGAGCGGGGCAGTGCCTCTTTGAGTGGCTGTTGTCTACCACCCTACTGGGCAGTGCGTCTCGAGTGGCTGTTGTCTACCACCCTACTGGGCAGTGCGTCTCCGAGTGGCTGTTGTCTACCACCCTACTGGGCAGTGCGTCTCTGAGTGGCTGTTGTCTACCACCCTTCTGGGCAGTGCGTCTCTGAGTGGCTGTTGTCTACCACCCTTCTGGGCAGTGCCTCTCTGGGTGGCTGTTGTCTACCACCCTACTGGGCAGTGCGTCTCTGAGTGGCTGTTGTCTACCACCCTTCGGGCAGTGCCCTCTCTGAGTGGCTGTTGTCTACCACCCTTCTGGGCAGTGCGTCTCTGAGTGGCTGTTGTCTACCACCCTACTGGGCAGTGCGTCTCTGAGTGGCTGTTGTCTACCACCCTTCTGGGCAGTGCGTCTCTGAGTGGCTGTTGTCTACCACCCTTCTGGGCAGTGCCTCTCTGGGTGGCTGTTGTCTACCACCCTACTGGGCAGTGCCTCTCTGAGTGGCTGCTGTCTACCACCCTACTGGGCAGTACCTCTCTGAGTAGCTGCTGTCTACCACCCTACTGGGCAGTGCCTCTTTGAGTGGCTGCTATCTACCACCCTACTGGGCAGTACCTCTCTGAGTGGCTGCTGTCTACCACCCTACTGGGCAGTGCCTCTCTGAGTGGCTGTTGTCTACCACCCTACTGGGCAGTGCCTCTCTGAGTGGCTGTTGTCTACCACCCTACTGGGCAGTGCCTCTCTGAGTGGCTGCTATCTACCACCCTTACTGGGCAGTCTCTCTGAGTAGCTGCTGTCTACCACCCTACTGGGCAGTGCCTCTTTGAGTGGCTGCTGTCTACCACCCTACTGGGCAGTACCTCTCTGAGTGGCTGCTGTCTACCACCCTACTGGGCAGTGCCTCTCTGAGTGGCTGCTATCTACCACCCTACTGGGCAGTACCTCTCTGAGTAGCTGCTGTCTACCACCCTACTGGGCAGTGCCTCTTGAGTGGCTGCTGTCTACCACCCTTTTTTTACTGGGCAGTGCTCTCTGAGTGGCTGTTGTCTACCACCCTACTGGGCAGTGCCTCTCTGAGTGGCTGTTGTCTACCACCCTACTGGGCAGTACCTCTTGAGTGGCTGTTGTCTACCACCCTACTGGGCAGTACCTCTCTGAGTGGCTGTTGTCTACCACCCTACTGGGAGTACCTCTTGAGTAGCTGTTGTCTACCACCCTACTGGGCAGTGCCTTTCTGAGTGGCTGTCTACCACCCTACTGGGCAGTACCTCTCTGAGTAGCTGTTGTCTACCACCCTACTGGGCAGTGCCTCTCTGAGTGGCTGCTATCTACCAACCTACTGGGCAGCACCTCTCTGAGTGGCTGCTGTCTACCAACCTACTGGGCAGTACCTCTCTGAGTAGCTGCTGTCTACCACCCTACTGGGCAGTACCTCTCTGAGTGGCTGCTGTCTACCACCCTACTGGGCAGTACCTCTCTGAGTGGCTGCTGTCTACCACCCTACTGGGCAGTGCCTCTCTGAGTGGCTGCTATCTACCAACCTACTGGGCAGTACCTCTCTGAGTGGCTGCTGTCTACCAACCTACTGGGCAGTGCCTCTCTGAGTGGCTGCTATCTACCAACCTACTGGGCAGTACCTCTCTGAGTAGCTGCTGTCTACCACCCTACTACCTGGTGTGTTTTTTCACTCTTATGGACCAGTGTCTGAGTTCATCTACCAAGGACGGAGGCAATACCTCCCTGATGGCTGCTGTACTAACAGTTTCTGTCTGGTGCTGTATCTTACAACCTAGGTGGAGTAGTACCTCCTGGGTGCTGCTGTCTAACAGTTTACTGTCTGGGCGTATTGTGAGTGTGTGTTACCACCTAGGCGGGGCAGTACCTCCCTGGAAATGGCTGTCTACCAGTCAACTTATCAACATGTCCTCTCTGAGTTGACCTCTACCAACGTAGGAGTGCTGTCGTGCACTTGCGAGTAGCACCTCTGGGCATATCCCATCTCACGACCCAGACTGGGTTCTGTATCCCTGCCGTAGCTACACCCAGACAGGATGGGCATATTGGTAGGATTTCATATCAATTCTTTAATTTCCCGGATCGCACTTTCACAATGAAGTTTATCCCGAGATGTGCTTCTAACATTACTGTGGAGGGTGTGAGTGGGTGTTAAGGCTGAGGCAGTAGCATGTGGAGAAGGGCTGATTAGAAATGATGGATAGGGAACAGCTCTGATGACAGAGCGACAGCAGTTAGGTCCTCGTATCCAGGAGTTCACTCTGCTTCCTACACTTTGCACGACCAGGATAGAATCCTGTAGCTAATGTCGGGGTTCCATCACTGGTAAAAATTCTGCACTCTCACAATTCTTTTGATTCTCCATCTCTTCACTCGCCAGTTTTTTGGGAAATGTGTTTATCATGGTGAAGCAGGAGGTGTGGTTGAAGCACGGGGGTAACTATATAGCCGGGAAATTTCAACTTTTCCTCCATCATTAACACCCTCGGTTTGATTGATTTCTCCATTTACCCCCTTTCAATCAAAAAAATAATTGTCGCCATCATAAAGGGACAGAAAAACAAAGTTATAAAAAATAAATTATTCAATTATGTAATTTTTTACCCCAGGGGTTAAATTTATCCCTGGTTGAGAATCACTGCTATATAGGAACAGTATGATAGTTGTACATAGCGGCAAACACTTTTTTTTCGGAATGGGACTTGGAAGGTGACAGAGGCTCTTGCGAGCATCGGTGGAGCATCGAGTGGTAACATCGGGTGGACCACCAGGTGGATCACCCGGTGAAACACTGAGTGGATCACCGGGTGGATCACGATGGTTCCTGGCTGATAATGGCTGGCAGCGTGTAACATGACCCGGCTCCAGACCCGACCACTTACCCTTGATTATTATGCTGTCACAGTGGGGCGGAGCACAAACCTTGCCTCAACAACCTTCCCTCCCTCCCTCCCCTCGCTCCCTCCCCAACTCTCCCCTTTTCCCCACCTCCCTCCCTCCCTTCCCCACACCCTGAGGCACCATCACCAAGGCTCTTCATGCCTACCGATCCATTTCAAAACGCTTGACAATGCTCCGCTCGTCCGTCGCTCCCAAAAACTCGACTCCTGAAAGTGAGGCTGCCTGAGCTTTATAACCCAGTAACAGGACACAGCAACTCGACTCTTGCAACGAGGCTGATGGAAAAAGCTGCCTGAGCCTCAATGACGAGCAACAGCAACCAGGAGCAGCGTAATTACAGGGAGGGCAGGAAAGAAACGACAGTGGGAGGTGCTGCTCTCTTAACGGTCGCCCGGCGGGGGTCACTGGGAAGTTTGGAAGAAGAGTCGGGGGTATAAGAGACTTTACCATCACAAAGTGAGAGAGCAGCGTCGCCTGTGAACCATTCACGGACACACAAGATGGACTGACTGTAGATTTCTAACCTTCTGAAAAGCATTTTCCGTTTCCCCCCATCACTAACTGACCAATGCGCAAAATAATCAATAACTTACAGACGGTAGTCACGATTAGTGAGGCGTCAGGATGGATAGAAGGAACAAGTTTATTCTAAAAGATTCACTTATTGGAATAAACTCCTGCATCTCAATATTTCCTACTGACGTAAAATTCGCGAAGCAAATAAGAATTTTCGTGATCCAAGAAGACATAGGAACGAATTTCTTTAATGTAAGAGTAATGAACAAGGAGAGGAAAAAGAAGAAAGAAGAGGAAGGGGAAGGGGAGGACTAGGAAGAGGAAGAAGAGGTCACAATATTGATGGAGAGTAGCGTCACGTGCTGGTGGTTGAAGGGGCTGCTGAACCAACACTCACTACCCCAGGAGTCCAGTTCACCCCCCAACTCTCTCTCTGCTCCCACGGGAGACTCACCCACTCATGCTAATCACTCGTCCCATCACACCATCACTCACCACACCATCACTCACCACACAACCACTTAACCATCACTCACCATGCATCACACTGCCTCCACGATGACCAAACGAAAAATTAATTTATCTAGATCTCTAGGGACAAGGGTCTCTAAAGATCAGGACCTCATTGACTCCAAAAAACATAAGTGGCCATGAAGATCTCGCGCGCACACACACACACACACACACACACACACACACACGAAGATGCACAGATCACATTCTCAAGAGAGGTAAAAATAATGTTTGTTTACGACTGGTAGACCTGACAAAGTTGAGGTGTTGGGGAGATACTGACCATCCTTGTTCATGCCAGCTTGTAGACACTTGGAGAGTCTACAAGCTCGACACTGATTACGGTGAGTCTTGTCTACCAGACACCCGCCCTCTCCCTTGCTCTTGCACACATACTGCCTCTGTCGACGAATTGACCTCTGTGGGGAAGATTATTAATAATTATTATTATTGTTATTGTTATCATTATTATTATTATTATTAGTAGTAGTAGTAGTGGTAGTAGTAGTAGTAGTAGTAGTAGTAGTAGTAGTAAAAGTAGTAGCAGCGGTAGTATCATTAATTATTAATATAATTTATGTGAAGTTCAAAGCTCCGCGTTACTTATCGTTCAGCCTAGACTTAGAGACGAGACATTTCGATGACATTTCGGCCCATCAGGTCACAACTGAGGTTTGACAACGATGTAGGAAGGACCGAAACATCATCTAGCATTTCTTGTCCCAGTTGTCGATTTATTGATGTGTTCCAGCTATTAATGTGACTTTTATTCTTCATGGTTGAGGTTCGATCCCCCGTCTGCTAGTCGCGGTTCAGTCTCTTATCAGTGAGGTTCGACCTTTTTACCCCTGACCTGTGTTGGGGAGATCTGTGTTGGAGAGACTAGTGTTTGGAAAGACTTGTGTTACGGGAACCTGTGTTGGAGAGACCAATGTTTGGCAGGACTTGTGTTAGGAGGACCTGTGTTGGAGAGACCAATGTTTGGCAGGACTTGTGTTAGGGGGACCTGTGTTGGAGAGACTAGTGTTTGGAAAGACTTGTGTTACGGGAACCTGTGTTGGAGAGACCAATGTTTGGCAGGACTTGTGTTAGGAGGACCTGTGTTGGAGAGACCAGTGTTTGGCAAGACTTGTCTTAGGGGAACCTGTGTTAGAGAGACCAGTGTTCGGAAAGACGTGTTAGCGGTACCTGTGATGGGGAGAACAAGAAGGCTGATGTACCTTTGGAAAAAAAAATAAATGTACACAAATAGCTAACGTGCCATGGAGAAAATAGTAAGGACGTGCCCAGATGGCTGACGTGCCTTGAAGAAGCAGTAAGGACGTGAACAAATGGCTGATGTGTCTTGAAAGACGCAGGAAATAGATGCCAAGATGCGTAGCTTACCTTGAAGAATCCAGCGCAGCCATCGCAAGCGAAGATCCCATAATGCTTCCCAGACGAGTGATCTTGACACACCTTGCAAGGAATGTCGTACAAGATGCGGCCTGCGTGCGAAACATCTACTTAAGAAGTTGTTCAGTGATGGAATGTTCAAAATGAGCTTATTAAATAAGAACACAAAATACGAACGCAAACATATACTCGCGCCGGGACTCAAGAAACTGCGGGTTCGCACAGACTTGCATCTGCATTACTGTACGTTCTCACGTGCATTACTGAACGTTCTTGCGTGCGTTACTATACGTTCTCAGTAAGGAGAGTTTGTGAAGAGCTAACTTTTAATCGTTACAAAGGCAAAGACTTCACTGAGAGTTTCCAGTAACCTTTGTTAATGAGAATCACAGATACAATCTATTGCAGTGTACATACACCGAGGGGTGTGTATTTCTCAGTGTATAAACACACACAGGTGTGTACCTCTCAAAGCATGTACTCCAAAAGGCGTACAACTCCCGGTGTACATAACACTAAGTACTTACATTAACTTGCACACTATAATTGAGTGTGAGTGTACAAGTGGGATGGAGAGGCTCTTAACTTACTAACTACCCTCCCTCTATCTGTTGCTAATTTGATAGTCCACACAGCCTCCCTCCTTCTAGCTACGCGGTCCATACATATTAACGCCCTCCTGATAGTTTCCTGCCGCGTAATTGCTAAACGGAAGGAACGTAACCTAATTGGTTTTCCCACGTTATGTAACGAGGTAAAGAAGAATTGTAATTAGTGCGA